ATAAAGTGGGATTTCAGGCAGGTTTTGAAAGTGTCTAATGTTGGGGAGGTCCTAATGTGAAGGGGCAGTTTGTTCCACAATTTAGGAGCAGTCACAGCAAAGGCCCGATCTCCTCTGTGCTTTAATCTGAACCTCGGAACAGCCAGGAGCATTTGATCCACAGACCTCAGTCATCTTGCAGGAGTGTACCAGCTCAAAGATCAGAAAGGAATGAGGGTGCTGACCCTTAAAAACAAATAATAAAATCTTAAAATCATTTCAAAAACTAACTGGCAGCCAGTGTAATGGTGAAAGTATGGGAGATATGTGTTCTTGCTTGCGTGTGCCAGTTAGTAACCGTGCTGCAGGGTTTTGGACCAGCTGCAGACGGCTAACTGATGACAGATGAACACCAGAGTAAAGACAATTACAATATTCGAGTCAAGATGAAATAAAAACATGGATAGCCTTCTCAAATTTTCTGAAACAGAGAAATGGCTTCACTTCAGCAAGTAGCCATTCTCTTTCAGTACAAAACGTCATTGTTCCATGTGTTGAGGGTTTTTTTTTTTTCATTCCTTAATGATAATTTTGCTAAGTTTTTACCAATTTATGTATGTTAATGTGTGGAAAGCTAATTAACAACTGCCAGCGCACATGCAACTGTGTAAAAATAGTTTGACTGAATTAGCAATTTTCTTTTCATTCAAGAATTGTAGCATGTGCCAGTATCGGTACTTGTAAAAGAACAAGCAAAGCCACATGTGAATGCAAGATGCAAGCTGTGACTGGCTACTTCTATACTTCTGACACACCACCAAGCCTGTTTACTCAGAATGCACAGGAATTTGGGCATCAACAGGACACAACAGCTCGGCACGCATGACATGGCCTCATTTTGCTTCAGTTAATGTAGAACTGTACAAAAAAGCAAAACTTTTTAAACATACAACTAAAACTTTTTCTAAGGAGGCCTGATTTAATCTTACTGTCACTGCCACCAGATATTTGGTCAGAGCGCCAGACACTCATGTGTGACTGAGGCGATAAGAAAAAAGACAAGACTCATTCAGACCACACAAACACATTGCTGCTGAATTGTTGCTGAAATGTGGTGGTGACTACTAAATGTTGCTGACTGTGAAACATCGACCATAAACATGCAAAAACAATTTATTTTTAAGTTATTTGTTTATAATTTTACTTACAATAAAAGAAGTCAGCACAAATCATGATAAGACCACAACTTACTAAAAATATAACAACTCCTGTTACAATTACAACTGATACATAAAAGTAACTGCCTTTATTTGGTGCTGTCTTAGAGAAGCATAACTGAGCTTTCACTTAGTTTTATTTGCACCAATCAGAGGTGGAGCATTGCTGGCCCAACATGTTTGTGATAACAAACACTCCACCTGCTGGTGAGTCATTAAATTCTTGTAACTGATAAAATGTAAATAGTTTGATATGATATGCTAGTCTTTTATTTGTTATTTTATTTGTAGAAATTGATTTGAGCTTACATGTGATTAACCATTATGTGTGTTGAGGTTATTTTGGTCCTTAATTTTTAATACATTCTGTTACATCGGGGGATCTTACAACACTTTCTTACCATTGGTTATAGCCCACTCATATCTAAAACAATACCTCCTCCTCTTTATGTGAAAAGCAACTGCATCTCAGTGTCATCTCACTCATAAAGCCAGAACATTAAATTCTTGTAACTGATAAAATAATGGCTGGTGTGTACCAAAAAATTGTTATTTAACTATTATTATTTCTTAAAATACTTACATTTTTATTTATCTCTGCAAATTATTTTTTACATTCTTGAACTCTAACACACTAAATTAAAAAAATTTATATTTCATTAAAAATGTGTCACATAGCCTTTTACCTGGCACCTTAATGTTTTAATTTGCTGAATCTGAGTAACAATGGTTAAAGACTAGTCCTGAGTCGTCCCCCCCCCAGTTATTGATCCCAAAATATTAAAAGTCACAATTGCTAGGTTTCACTGCTAACACTGCAGACTAACCAGTGCTTAATCTGGTGATGGATTTTATTGGTTGTGATGCAGTGCTCATAGAGCTCTTATAAGCCCCCTGGTGGAAAATACTCATGCAGTAAGACAAAGATTTGATTTATCCCAAGCTTAAAATTTGTCAGGAAACAGTGCTAACCACTGTGCAACTGTGCTGCACTGTACTTTAAAATCAAATTAAGGCTGATTTCAAAAATTTAGAACTAGAAGAGCTGAACAAGATTGTTTCTAGTTAACCCAAAACATCTTTTGTTATGAGACTATTTTTGAGCATCAGAGGTACTTCACCTTTACACCTTTCAAACTTTGACATGTGCACAAATAATTTTTCAAGTGAAAATGCAGAAAAAACTGATAGACTTGATTATTTGTGTGTAACATCTCTTGCACTGCTTTTTACAGCTGCAAATCAAGGCCAAACATAATCTCATTCATCTTTCCAGCTAACTTCCATAAGAGAAGACGCGCTCAATGGGTGTGACTTTTATCAACTCAGGAACTGGTTAATATTAACTTAAGTTATGAACCATAAAGTTAAACAGTGTGGCTTTGTGACTGTGAAGATAAATTCCTTCCCACCACACCTTGTATGTCTGCGTCTACAATGAGCAAGTCAGCAGCTGCTAGGACCAATCCCTTTTCTAGGAGGGCTTACTCTCCACTTTGCGTTTCAAGAGCACAGCAAGAGAATGAGCAAAGTATACAGTTTTTAATTCAAATACCATGGCAAAGCAATGGCATATGGTGTGTCTTTGGATCATATGGCATTTTCAGACCTCAAATGTTACAGCTTTCAACCTGGACACGGAGAATGTACTGCAGAGAAATGGAGATCCAGGCAGCCTGTTTGGATTTTCTGTTGCCTTCCACCAACAGCTCAAACCTGCCAGAAAGAACCTGTGAGTGAAAGCAAAACAATTTGTAAGTTTGGAATTAATCAAACGTTTGTCTTACTGCTTGGTATTTTCCACCAGACTGCTGGTAGGAGCTCCACGAGCAAAGCATCAGAACCAGGTGAATGTTACAGGAGTTGTTTACAAGTGTGATCTGACTACAACATCTAAGAGCTGTCAGCCCATTGAGTTTGATGATAAAGGTTTGTGTACTTTGTCTGAAGCTATATTTATCATTGTTTTATGGTAGCAAGTTTATAAGTGTTTAATATTCAATACAGTCCGCTTGACAGTGCCACTCTTGCTTGTTATTCACATGCATTTCTTAAAGGAAAATTACATTATGCACACCACAAAGAACCACATACAAACAATATAAAACACTTACCAGCTTAACAGCTATTGTATGCATCAAAGTTATTGCCATGTAAGTAAAATATAACATAAAATATTCGTATGAGTGTGTTTGATATCGGACAGCGACTGTTCATTGTACATGCTGATTGAAAATGGTTATGGTTTTAGGGTAGAAACTGTCCATGAATTACTTGGTCCAAGTTTTTAGTGACATGCGGTGACTGCCTGAGGACAGAATGTAAAACAGGTGATAGCCAGGTGGAGAGCAGTCTTTAACATGGTGTTGGGCTCTGGAACAGTTGCATGTGATTGCAATATGTTAGAGAGAACAAAGGGGGCAGCCAATGACTATTTCGACTGTGCTGATGGCTTCTATAGATCTTTATTAGTTATTAAGCAGCTAGCATAACACAATGTGAGACAGTATGTTTATACACTCTTGTGTGGTAAAAGCTCACTAACAGCTTTCCCTTGGTGACTTTTCTTCAACATTTTCATAAAGTGCAAACATTGCTGTGGTTATTTTGTCAGCGTCTTTGATGTTGCTGGCCCGAGAATCTTTCTTGTTGTATGATTTCACCTTCTTTACAAGCAGACTCATCTGCTGAAACAAGTCCAACTACAGTGGTGTTATATGCAGTTTAAATAAAGAGTTGGTAGGACAGACTGTGTGTAGTCTAAATTGTATAGAGAGCACAGTATTAGGCTGAGAACACAGCACAGTGTGGGGAATTAGTGCTGAGTGAGATAATGAAAGAGAGGTGGTGACTACACATTTTGTCAATGGTTTGCAAGAAAACCTTTGATGGAAGTTCAGGTGTGAGAGTGGAAGTCCAAATTTGCTGATCAGCAAAGTGACTAAAGCCAAATGACCCCCTGTGAAAGCTGGTTAGCTGTCCAGTTCGGGCAGTCACCCCCAGAGTGAGTGCAGCTGGTCTGTATGTTCAGACTGTCAACTGAAGGCTTTTTTGCTTCAAGGATAACAGGGGCTGGTGATAGCCAGGGTGAGAGATGGGCATGTGCAAGAGACAAATTAAAGTTCATAAAGACAGGCATGATTTGGTTGAGTGCATTCTTGGGTATTCCATCAGAGCCAGTAATGATTGAAAACAACCAGTGTCTGCATAGGATTATCTCTGAATGCACCACATACTGAACCAGAAGCAGATAAACTGCAGCAGAAGACCACACTGAGTGCAGCTGACAAACCTGCGGTTTTTGAGTGATGCCATCATGTGGCCCAAAGTTTGCAAGAAATATTTTCAGTACTTTTCACAATATATGCCAAAATGGATTAAGACAGGTTTGAAGGCAAAACAGAGTGCAACCTGGTACAAGCAAGGTGTAAGAAATGAAGGGGCCAGTGAGTGTATATTTATATCGCACCCACCTTGTCATGATCCTGGGTCCTTTTGGCCCAGCATTTTGTGTTTTCTCTTCTTGCAATTTTGGTTCTGTTCTTCCTCTGGTTAGTGTTTACTCTGTTCTACCCATGTGTTCCTGTATCTAGTCCGCGTTTCTTAGTTTGTGTCCTTTCATGTGTAAGTTCCTGTTTTATTGTGTAGGTCTGCGTCTTATGTGAGTGTTTTCAGTTTGCCTCCCTAGTCTCGTCACGTTAATCACTCGCAGCTGTGTTCCCCACCTGTGTGTAATCTCCCTGTGTTCTCTGAGTGTATTTAAGTTGTGTTTTCTGTCATAGTAGTTGCTGGTTCGTCTGTGTTGTTTCCCCTCGGTCTCCCTGCATCTCTCCATGTGTAGTTCCCTGGACCTCCCTGCATCTTCGTTTCTGGTTTGTTTTGTTAGTTTTACCCAGTTTAGGTTCCAGTTTCATGTTCCCAGTGCCTTTGTTGTTTGTTTTTCCCTTCGTTAATAAATACTCACCTGCACCAGAGCTGCCGCGTCCTGGGCCCTATTTCAGGAAGCCGGTTTAGTGCAAACTCTGAGTAAGTATACCCTGAGTTAACGAAAACTCTGGGTTTTCGGTTTCACAAAGCGAGTTTAGATTAATTCTGAGTGAGTTACTATGACGACACACTCCGTGAAGCTAACCTGCCCCCTAGCAGGTTTACTTCAACTAACCCTGACGTTCTCCGCCTCTTTGTCAGAAACCTGACTGTAGGAAGTGTCAGACATGGCGTGCCCCTTCCTTGAAGAGCCAGTAGATGTTGAAGCCCAAATTCTCCACAGAGCTCTCCGCCGGGAGAGAGTGATCAGAGCGCGTTCGGACATTTTATCATTTCCTGATGATTTTCTGTGTGAACATTACCGTTTTTCAGCACAATCTATAATTTATTTGAATAACATCCTCAGGCCTAATATTGCTCATGTGACACATCGTGGACATCCTCTCAGTTCTGTACATATTATTTGTATCGCACTTCGGTTTTTTGCAAACGGGAGCTTTCTGTATAATATTGGTGACACTGAGCACGTTTCCAAGGCTACCGTCTGTCGGGCAGTCAGGAATGTTACAGTTGCACTGAAACGTCTCCTGTACTCGTTTGTGGTGTTCCCCGGTCACAGACCCACAAGATTCATCAAAGAGGGATGCCACAAAATTGCAGGTATCAGGATGAACGAAACTTAATTCATGATGTGGTGATATTTGAACTACTACTTAAATTTTACATTTATTTTCAGGGTTCCCAGGCGTGATTGGCTGTATAGATGGCACTCACATTCCAATCATTGCTCCTTCAGTAAATGAAGGAGACTATGTGAACAGGAAGTCTTTCCACAGCATTAATGTACAGGTACATAGTTCCCTGTAGCATTTCAAACTAACAAATTATTTCATTATAGTAATGGATGCTAATTTGTGTTCTCTGCACTGTGAAGATCATATGTGATGCTGCCTACATTATCACAAATGTGGAAGCCAACTGCTCAGCCTCTGTGAGTGGTGGTGGTGGAGGACCCCCATCTGTTTTTCTGTTGGCTATAACGGGCCACATTTGAGCATACAGAGTAAGCAAATATGTACTTGTAATGTGCTCAGATAATTTCAATAAGTGCTTACAGAGGGGAAATTAATGTAGCCTCTAACTGCAATTGATTTACATCGGACAAACAGACCAAGCACTATGGCCCATAATACAATTACACCTTACCTGTTTGGACTATATTTTTATATTTCATTTTTACTTGCTGCCAGGAACGTTTGGGGCCTGTTGGGTTGCACCTGCGCTCAAATCACATCACAAAATCAAATGTATAAAATAAAAAATAAAATAAAATAACGTGTTAAATGGGTGGAAATCCCTAGATCAATGTTTAAATTGACACTCACGCATTGACTCTGTCGGCTTTGTTTTGCCATGCATGCTCCCTTTCTTTTGCAGCTGAAGCTGTGTTACTTTTTTCTGCGGAATTTGCATGTTATCGGCATATGCTGCCATCAGAATTTCGGCCTCAAGCGCTGTAAGATACATTGACCGCGCCTTCTTTCCCTCTGTCTCCATGGTGACTCGCTTAATCTGTGCTCCACTAATCAGGGCTTTATGTATCCTCGTGCGCGTGCTTAACTTGGGGTTAAAGCAACTCCGCGTTGACTGAACTAATTGTTATCAGCCTTTCTGAAACCGAATATTCCGAGTTGGACAGTTCGGGGTTACTCAACCCTGAGTATCGTTTTTCACTCTGAGTTTTCTAAACCGGCTTCCTGAAATAGGGCCCTGGTCCTAAATATTCCACACGGCTTGCCCCGGCAAACCGTGACACACCTAAAACACTGTGCAGCAAAGTTATTAATTTAAACTCCTGTTTAATAGTCCAATACCATATATAACTACTTAAAATTGTGCCAAAATGTAAAGAAAAAGAAGAGAAAACACATGCCAACACTTGCTCAAATTTCATTGTCAATATTTACTGAAGCGTTTAAGTGCAAAATAGAACAAGATATCTGTAGAATTTATCTCTAATGCTTTAAACAAAAGGCTGTTGTAAGGGTTTGGGGACCTAAGCAGCAAAGTATATTTATTTTGCTGATATGTTGTTGTGTATATAGCATTCGTATTCTATTTTTATGGTAAATGGTAAATGGCCTGTATTTATATAGCGCTTTTACTAGTCCCTAAGGACCCCAAAGCGCTTTACATATCCAGTCATCCACCCATTCACACACACATTCACACACTGGTGATGGCAAGCTACATTGTAGCCACAGCCACCCTGGGGCGCACTGACAGAGGCGAGGCTGCCGGACACTGGCGCCACCAGGCCCTCTGACCACCACCAGTAGGCAACGGGTGAAGTGTCTTGCCCAAGGACACAACGACCGAGACTGTCCAAGCCGGGGTTCGAACCGGCAACCTTCCGATTACAAGGCGAACTCCTAACTCTTGAGCCACAATCGCCCCGTATATTTTTATTCTATTTTATTCTACTGTATATAGTATATTATTTTATTCTATTCTGTACAGCTGTGTACTGTATTTATTCTTATTGTATTCTAATTTTTGCGTCATAACTTTTGCACTGTCCACTTCCTGCTGTGACAAAACAAATTTCCCACGTGTGGGACTAATAAAGGTTATCTTATCTTATCTTATAACTCATTTAATGTAAATCTGTTTCTGGGAAGTAATCATAAAACTTTCTCTCAACTAAACAATAACAGAGTGAGCTCAACTATCTGGTTTTACAGAGCTCCTCAGTAGTAAAGGCATAAATAACCAGTGGATGGGAGTTAGAGTCACGAGCCAAGGTCCTGGTAAAAATGTAATGGTAAGGAATGCATTCAGATTTTAAAGGACATTTTAAGAAAGTCAACATCTTTTGTAAATCTAGCCTCCTTACCTTTTAGACTTGTGCGCATCACTATCAGGATTGGGACATAACCCCAGGTCTTTATGTTCCTCACCTGCTGACGGGTCAGTGCTACCTCTTAGGAGATGACCTGAAGGTGGGGGAAGAAGAAAGGAGCTGGCGGAGGGTCGTTTGTGATAGAGAACACTTAACAAGACGTCAAAAGGACCACGACTGGTTTGCCTACTGCCAGCAGGGTCATGGAGCATCTTTTGCAAAGGATAACATATCCCTTCTATTTGGAGCACCAGGAGCTTATCAGTGGAAAGGTACATTAGAGCTTAGCAGTCGAGTGGTTTGGCAAAATATATTCACTTATTCATGTTTTTTTTATGTTTCATGTTGTTTTCACCCAAATGATCCTGCTCAAAGGAATAGTAAGAATGGAGGTTTTGGACAATCTGGACATCTACAGTGTGGATGCTCGCGAGACTGGAAATATTGACGATTTTAACCCAAAACTCATTCCTCTTAAGTCAAACAGCTACCTGGGTCAGTTTCTTCTCTCTTGAATACTGGTTAATGGTCAAGCAAATGTTAAAATTAAGATATAAATTTTAGTGGTGTCAATGGATAAAACTCTTACAAAGTGAAACATTACAGTGAAACAGCATCATCCTGTACTATCCAGGATTCTCCATTGACTCTGGAATGGCCCTCATCAGGAAGGGCGAGCTGACAATCGTATCAGGAGCACCCAGAGGAGGTTACAGCGGACAGGTGGCATTTCTGAAGGCAGACCCTATGGCACAGAGAAATCTGTCTGTGGAGCTGGTCCTCTCTGGACCAGGCCTGGCCTCCTCCTTTGGCTATGATTTGGCAGTGGTGGATCTCAACAGTGATGGGTAGGTTGAAGATTATGTCCATTAAACCACAGCCAGTGAAACAGGAAATATAACAGGTATGCACAGACACAAGCTTAACACCAAGACATCAGACATGGCAACAAGGAGGGAACACAAAGCTGTAGGACCAGGGCAGGCACAGAGATGCAGAACAGAAGGAACTCAAAATACTAAACCTGAGAACTAGAAATACTAGAACAGAAACCAAAATATTAATAGTGACAACCCTGAATAACAAATAATCAAGAAACACAAATAAAAAGGCTACAAAACACTGGGTCACCGACCCAGGACCATGACAATATTTTTATTGGTTGGTTCGTCCAACCCATCTATCTTCAAATTTCATGATGATAATCACCCATGTCCATGGTTCCCCTCATTGATTTATCACTAGAGTTCATTTCAGATTTAAAAATAAAGGGTTCCTGGGTGAGGTGTTCTGGGCATGTCCTACCGAGAGGAGGCCCCAGGGCAGACCCAGGACACGCTGGAGACATTATATCTCTCGGCTGGCCTGGGAACACCTTGGTGTTCCCCCGGACAAGCTGGAGAAGGTGGCTGGGGAGAGGGAGGTCTGGGCTTCTCTGCTTGGGCTGCTGCCCCCGTGACCCGGCCCCAGATAAATGAAAGAAGATGGATGGCTGGATGGAAATAAAGGGTTCAGTCTGAGTATCTAATAGCAAAGATGCATTTCATGAAAAAGATTATAGATTTCTCTTTCTCTAAATTCAGAGAGCTGTCATGCTAACATCGTGAATTTTACACTCAAACACACATTATTCATCACAGATTAGGAGGTACACAGTCAATATAACTTTCTGTTTCTATTGCTATTCAGTAGTATTCATAGTAATTGGTTTTATATTGTGTTCTTTTGCTGCATGCAGGTGGGATGACCTCGCTGTGGGAGCACCGCAGTTCTTTGTCAAAGATGGCGAGGTTGGAGGAGCAGTCTATATCTATATCAATAACAAAGGAAGAAACTGGGAGAATATTGTTCCAGTCAAACTTCTCGGACATAAAGACTCCATGTTTGGCCTCGCAGTAGAAAATATTGGAGACATCAATCAAGATCATTATGGAGGTTGTAACATTTTAACTATGTTTACAGAATATGAAAAAGTCACTAAATAACAATAGATAATATTACATACCCCAACCGCATTCACTACTGGGTAAACCACATCGAGTTATGTCATAAAATACACAAATGTAATAAACCACACTCATCCTCAGCACACAGCAGGAGTGTTTTATTGCTTATGAATTGGACTTTAAATTTGTAACAAATAGGACGTCTCATATCTTCTCAAAGTAACTATCAGGGTTTCAATTTAAGCCCTAAAAACAACAGGAATTAAAAGACACAAAAGACAAGTGATACATGGAGTATACTGTCATTTCTGAAGATTTGTTATGTTAATTTCCAGTTTGGACTCTTCTAACTTGCCTTTGCATGATTAACAAATACTACACAGTATCTTAGCCTTCCTAGATGCTATTTACCAACAAATTACTTAGGGATAGGCCCTCTCTTTGACATCATACAGACCCAAGAGTAGAAAAAAAAAAAGAAGCATGAAACAGAGTGGCTAAAGCAGTCTGACACTTCAGTCTTGGCTCACAGAGATGACTTTAGCCATGTTAAAAAAGAGGATGTTAAAAAAAAAAAGAGGATCTACTATTGTAGGTGCTCTTTAAATGCATTTTTGGATAAACCCCCAACTTTGTTGTCTCTGTGTTGTCACCATGATTTGTATTAGTGTTTGCCTGTGTTGACAGATATTGCAGTGGGAGCACCGTATGAGGGCTCTGGACTTGTATACCTTTACTATGGCTCTCCAGATGGTGTCAACAGAGAGCCTGGACAGGTGAATTTGCTGAGCTTCCTCAACATCAGCGATTAAATTCAATAATATATGAATATTTACAATACAAAAAAACTTAATATCTTATCTTTATATCTTTTCTTGTTTAGATAATTTCATCACAATCAAAGAAAGTGAAACTGTTTGGATATTCTCTGACTGGTAACCTGGACGTGGATGATAATCAGTATCCTGACTTGGCTGTTGGATCTCTCTCTGATTCCATTTTTGTTTACAGGTGTATATATATAGAGAGAGTTACTGCATAAGCACAAGATAAAAAGTAACCAATGATAAATGCATCCCAGCACTTAATTTTCTTTTTTTTATTTATACTTGAAGCTCAGTTTAATTTTATGTTAAAACAATTTCTCTATTCTGGATAGAAGCTAACCCCGAGCTCAGTTTTATTTTAATAGACACATTTTATCATTCTGATCATTTTATTCTAATCATATTGATTTACTTTTTTAAAACAAATATGCTGTATAAATACTTTTAAACATGCACAATAATTTATTAATGGTTCACTTTCTGACAGAACAACTTCAATTCCACAAACCACTACATGTAGTTTCAGTGTTTTAAATTCCTCTCTGGTTTTGATTCTATAAATATGAAGGTACAGAAAGTCTCATTAGTGATTTTTCTTTCTCATATATGTTGCAGAGCAAGGCCAGTGGTCACCGTCAGCACCGCTCTTAAGATTGCACCAAATGAAATAGACATCGCAAAGAAACGATGTGATGAGCAAATATGGTAAGATGTTCAAAAACACTAATTATAACATGCTCTATCTGCAACGCTGTTGGGTTTTAATCGAACATGTCTGCACAAACTTCAAGTTTTTTTGCAGTCGAAGCATGTTTTACCTACACAGCACATCCTGAGTCGTTCAACCCTAAACTGAGTAAGTTTTCTTCGTTTAGTATTCCTTAAATCCATGGTTTGGAGGAATAGTAAAGGCTTATTATACGACCTTGATATGTGTACAATTTTGAGGACTAGAAAAATACATATATGTTCCCAGGCTATAAAAGGTACATATTTGTAGCATTTATTGTAGATTTTATGGTAAAATCTCAGGAGTTTGATCAAATACAAAACAATATCTTTGATGGTTTATTGTTCATTGACAATTTAAGTTAACTGAAAAAAGTAATGCATTCTGATACATTTGTTCTCTTTTTGACATGTTTATTGGTGCTAATGTGATGCAAAGGATAACAATGGTGCCAAGAAAGTTCTGGGATAAAACCTTCCTGTACCTGCTCTAGTTTGCATTTAGCATTTAAAGAATAATAGCTGGTCAATTTAAGTTGTACTGTGTAATTGTGTAACATTAGGTACATGTTGCTGTACATATATATGGGTGTGCTATAATCAGTTATTTACAGTAGTACTAATACTATGTTAACTGGAGTCAATTGTTTCTAATCTGTTGAATGTACTTATCTATATTACAGTGCTCAACTTTACTTCTGATGCTGATTATGAGATGAAAAAATCAAGAGTCAGGGTCAACTTTATGGATTCATCTCAAGGAAAGCTGGAGCTGTCTGGTCAAGGGAGACAGGCCTGTCACAAAACTACGCTCCGGCTTTTGGTACTGTTTCATTTCGTTAGAAGACATACAGTCTCATAATGCTGCTTGATTTTCAACACTTTCACTTCACTTAGTCATATTGGACTTTGCAGAAAGTTACTTTAAAATGAAAATGTTTAAAATGTAGTACAATTTACAGAGACTAATAACATTTGTCATTAGGTGTTATACAAAACCTTGTGGGTAAAAAAACAAAATCACATTAAATCACAGCAAAGCTTTTTCGTTCCAGAGAAATATCAAGGACAAGCTGCAGAATATTCCTATCTCTGTCACTGTGTCTCTGAGCTCCAGTCAGACAACCAGTGCTAGTGCGGATCAGCTCAGTTTTACTCCTGTCCTCAACCGCTACCAGCAGAAGACCACTTCCTCAGAGGTAGAAATGAGTTTATATGCAGTTCTAGTCAAATTTATTCAAATTTTGCTGGGTGTATGAAGACTTAGAGAGTAAAGTTTTTTGAATGAACTCACGTTTTTGCACATTACACCTGCATGTGCATTTAGTTAAAATATAATCAAAATCAAAGTTGCAGGATGTTTATGTAGCAACATCAGTATCATTAAGAATCAATCTAATACTAATGTGTTTTATTTACTAGTTGTACAGTGTGTAAACTGTACAGTTAACTGGCTTCAGCTGCAATGTCTTTGCAACTGTGGTCAGAAATATACACATATACTCAAGTTAAATTAAAAATGGTTGGTTTCCTGAAGACTGGTGGGTTAGCTTAAGACAAAAAAAATACTGTATTTATTTCAAAGACCCTCAGGGGGACCTGAGCATAGATGTATCAGACAGAAAATAATGAACACAACACAAAAAACAAAACTTAAATGAGCCTGTAGCATACTTAGTGTCAGTTTCACAAGAATAAAACTGTAACAATATCAACCCATAGATAAGGTAAATCTGGTGTATAAAGGGGCTTATATGACATCCCCAATGTTCATGCAAAGGTGGGTCGATTCAGTTGAAGAGATATATTTCCTCTCATCTTCCAAGTATCAACCGGTGATTTGTGTCACATTTATTTTAATCCCACTGACCATTTTCAGTGTTTGAACAAGTTGAATAACCGACTTAAATTCAGAAGGTATCAGAAGTGAAATACAGAATATTACAATTAAAACTAGAATGCTCTTGACTGTATCTTTCTGTTTACTGCAGTTATTGAAATTGTGTGAATTAAAGCCCTTAACTCTGTTGTTGTGACGGATATGAACAGAATCCTGGAACTTAGCTGAAGCTTTATTAGAGAAGAGTTTCTTCTCTTTTTTTAACAGATCGTTCTAATAAATAGAGGCTGTGGCAGTGACAAAATTTGTCAAAGTAACCTGGACTTACAGTACAAGTTCTGTTCCAAAAAAACTCAAGCCGGTCAAGATGTTTTCAAATCACTGGCCAGGTAAACCAAAAATATCAAAGCTCAAAAATAAAGTCTTTTTTTTTTTTTTTTTTTTTTTTGGAAACCAAAACATGCGACCCCTCAGCCCAAGCTGCATTAACTTTTACTGTCACTCCTTTAGTGAGGATGGTGTTGCGGTCATCACTCCATCAGATGAAGACATAGCTTTGGAGATCACTGTGACTAACAAAAACGGGGACGATGCACACCAGAGTCGTTTGGCCATTACACTCCCGGACATAGTGCGCTACTCATCCTACTCGACCACTGCAGTGAGTACAGAAAAGCTGGTTTTCCCCTCGTTAGATCGTATGTTTTACTCCATGAATCCATATCCTGTTCCTTATGCTTCACTTTTAGATTCCAACTTTGATTTTCTACTTCCTACTTGTTGTGTTACTCTAAAATGTGATGGACAAAATATATTGTAATATTTTAATGATACTTTTGGTAATTTTGGTACTCCAAAATTTGATGTCATCTCCCAGGACTTTTTTATAATCACTGTATATTTATAGACAATGAGATTGCCTGCTTGTTTCCTCAGGAAAAACAAGTGAGTTGTACAGACAACAGGATGCCAATTGCCTGTGACCTGGGAAATCCACTCCAAAGAGATGCTGAAGTGAGTAGCGTTGCTCAGTTTCTTCCACATCTGCATCACTATTTGCATGTTTGATGGTTACTTTGTTCCTTTCAGGTAACGTTTTATGTCATACTCACAACTTCTGGCCTCACGTTGAGCACAAAATTGATTAACATCACTTTACAGCTGGAGACGTAAGTAGGCTGATCTGAAGGGATTATGTTACTAATCAGTGATCAGTGGAATGTAAATGACATTCAGTAAGCAAAACGAATAATTTACAAATAATCTTGGTTCTTCCTGCGATGTAGGACGAGTGAGCAGACCATAAAGCCAATACAGGCCTTTGCCAAAGTTGTTTTTGAGCTGCAGTTGCAAGTGAACGGGTGAGTTCTCCTTTAAATTAAAATTAACATTGCTTGTTCCATTTGTCATCTTAAAAATGACTGATTTGGCTTGAAGGATTTAAAAATGACTAATGTAATATCATAACGTGTTTCCTCATCAGGATCGCTAGACCTTCTCAGGTGTCAATTGGTGATATTGTAAAGGGCGAAAGTGCGATAAAATCTGTGGATCAAATAGGAAACTCAGTTCAGTATGAATTTAGGGTAAGGTGATATTTGGTACTAAACTTTAAATGAATCCTGCTGGTTATTTTTTCTCATGGGTCCAAGAAAACATGCACTGTTTCTCTAATAGATAACGAATTTGGGCAGACCTCTGAAGCATTTTGCAAATGCATCACTGAGCATCTACTGGCCAAAGGAGAACTCTGTAGGAAAGTGGCTTCTCTACTTGACTCACATCACCAATGATGGTGTGCATTCTGTCCCCTGCTCACCTGTAGATGAAGTCAGTCCACTTAAACATGTAAAGGTAAGGAAATCCTGTCATTGTTGAAATGTAAGCAATGCTTTAATGGCAAATTAACATCTAACCGGATCATGTCTGATACCAAGGGCTGGCATGACACAGCAAGAAAAAGACGTGAGGCTGAACATAAAGCCCTCTCAACTGATGGATTCACATTTCTTCCAACAAAAAGAAAATATAAAACACTGGTAGGAGAATAATATTTTAATTAAAATTAAACATTAATTATAATAAATTAAAATGTTGCAGCAGTTTCCTTTTACTGCTGAACTGATACTTTATGCAAATTGAGACTGATGAACATGCACACCTGAGGCCTGCTGTCTTCCCTTTAGACCTGCTCAGATGGATTGAATTGTGTGGAGATACGCTGCCCTCTGCTGGGCCTGGACAGTACTGCACGGATTGTTCTGCATTCTCGCCTTTGGAATGCCACTTTGGCAGAGGTGCTCCATTTCTGAAAAGTGCTATTGTAGTGTGTATAGCCACAGCAGGTAGCTGTTCTCAGGGAACAAGCCACATCATTCTATATCCCCCCCTCTAATCGGAATACTATCAAAATTAGACACTAGCTGGTGTACATAGTAGCTCATATAGAAACCTCTATTTCCAGAGGTGACACAGTGTTGTAGTGTTTAGTGTAGTACTGGACTCATGGTAGAAAATTCTAGGCTCAGATTTCATGGTCTTTGGCGTTTCTGTGTGAAGTTTCCTCTGGGTTCTTTGTCTTCAGCTTACGTCTTAGTTTAATTGGTGATTCTAAATCTACCTGAGGTATAAAAGCAAAGTAGATACATTTTGCATGAATATATATGAAAAGGTAAAATGCTGATTGTAGTGTAAAAGCGCTTTGAGTGGTCATTAATGCTATAATGCCAGTTCATCCTGTAAATTACCATTAAACACTAAAAATCACCAACAAAGTGAGCAAGGACAGACAGGAATAAAGCCTACTTAAGAAATTTTTTTGAAAGCCTTTTACTATGAGGGAAGTGAATGCAACGCCTCTGATTATTTTACACAGTTGTGGTCCTGTGAATAGGGATGGGTACCGGTATCCGGTGCCATTGGTTCTGACATAAACGGTAGTAACCAGACCGAAAAGCAGCGCACATTTCGGTGCCTTTTTCCCTGAGATGTCACACACCTTGGATTCTAGTCAATCGTTTTACGTTTGCGAGTGTAGTAGGCGGGACCAGGTACGTACGTCCTTTTAGAGCAGAGCTACAGATTAAAAATGCCCAAGGCGAAGTGGTCAAAAGTCTGGCTGTACTTCACAGCAAAAGATGCAAACTCAGCAGCCTGCAACAAGTGCTTTAAGCGGATACTGTGCAAAGGAGGTAACACCTCGAATCTGATGAAACAACTGGCGACGTATAGCATTTTTTTTTTTTTTTGGACCTGGAGTTAGCAACATCCCCCAAAAACACGAAGAGGAGAGTCCTGGCCCCTAGCCCTGCCAGTGTAGCAGAAATGATGAGGATGATGATGCAGCAGCAGCCGTTCTTCTCTGCGTGAGGAGCTTAATGTTGTTCATGTGTAATTTACGTTGAGTAGGCTAACCACGTTATTACATTAATGCATGTAAGGTGAACTAGCAAACATCATCATAGCTACATGCAGCTGTCGTCGTCTTTGATGGCAGATACTCCCTTCACCCTGGCCAAAAAGGCTAAAATGACCAAAGAAAAAAATGTGTTTTTTTCCATTGTTTAAGCACTGCTTCCAGCCAAGAGTGATGCCATAAATCCCCTATAGCTGCAGAAAAGGCTAACATTGTTATCTTTTTACAAAAAACCAGCTGAACATGAGAGGTTTTTGGACAAAGTGTCTGTTCTCCATTCTTTAAGCACCGGTTCGAGCACCGTTTAAGCACCGGCACCATTTCAAAAGTACCGGTTTGGCACCGGTATCGGATAAAACCTAAACGATACCCATCCCTACCTGTGAGTAGGCTAATACTTGGGAACAAATTAAAACCATTAGAAACCTTCATGGCAATTAAACAATAATTTAGTGTAGATTCTTATTTCTACAAAACACTCACATGGACTTGTTTCTCACTCTGTTACCCATTTCCAGCCTTACTTAGCAGCATGTCACCAGTATCTTATTCAGTTTTTCTCTTCCATTTAGGATTACAGCTCTTTAAACTATCTTCTCATTGTTGTTGATGCAACTCTGACTCTAACCAACGCTCCAGAGAACATTGGACTTAAACCAGAAAAACTCAGGACAAAGGTAAAAAAAAAAAAAAAAAATAGGTTTGTTTGTTTGTTTGTTAAGACCAATTTTGTTAAATTACTCACATGAGCAGTTGCTCTTTAATAGAGCTACCTTTGAGTTCAGTGTACTATAACAATTACATTAAAATAATGTTTGTAACAGTCTAAGATGGACAGAAAGTCACAGCCTTCTAGGATTTGTGCATCTGAAGACATACTGTACTGTTGTTTTGGGTCTGATTATTATTATTATTATTATTATTATTATTATTATTATTATTATTATTATTATCTAAATGTCCACAGGCAAAACTGACAGTGTTCCTTGAGAGAAAGACTGAATTCCTGGTCAAAGTTGCGTGGTGGATAATCCTCCTGACAGTCATGTCTTTGCTGCTGCTGTTGGCCTTTTTAGGCTTCCTACTGTGGAAGGTAACAAGAAATACAGAATACCTGTAAAATGTTGTTTTAAAAGTTCACTGAGCTGATAGCTATACAGTTCATAGCATCAGCAGTGTCAAATCAGTCTCTCGGTAATCTTCCAACAAAGCAGTAAAAGCAGTTTGTGTTTTTTTTTTTTCCGGCAGTTGTAAGCATTACTCTTAGCATTCTTCCTAAATTGTGAATACTTTAAATAGAAAAAGCAAATTTCTGCAGTCTGAAAGCACTTAAATGTGGCATAGATGAGGATTTTTGAATGTACAATGAACAGTTGAAACAGTTAATATTTTTCATGAATTCTTTACTTTTTACAAACTTGTCTGTGAACTGTCATACTGACCCTTGTCCTTATTTCTTTTTGTAAGCGTGGGTGCATCCACTGCATTGATCATAAGAAGAAGTTCTCAGATAATGGAACTCCAAACATAGAGACAGCGCCCCTTAAAGGCTAAAGGGCAAACCTTAAGGACACCTTGAAGGTTTAAGAACAACACTGAGGCTTCCATGGCAAGCTGTTGTTTTATATTTTCTACTATCAGCACAGAATTATCTGATCATTTTATGATGTGTTAGGATTAATTTTTTTATTGTTTTGGTTTTTGTTTGTTTTGTCACCCAATTTATTTGCATGTTTACACTTTTCCAGCATTTTCCCCTTTTCATTTCTGTCTCCCTCTTTTTCCTTTGTTGTTTATTTCCCGACTTAACACTTTCTGTTGTATGTGTGCAAGTGCACTTACCAACATGGTGTGGAAAGTTGATTATGTCTCACCTCAAATGCTCAGCATCTTGGCTACATAACAAAAAAAGGAGAGACTACTATTAAATTATTCTGTTATTATATGTTACCTTATATATGTAATCAAAGTAGTTGAATTAGAATACTGCTGTAGATCATATTATACCCTTTAAAATAGAGTGTGTGAGCTGTATGTAGTTTAGTTCTCATTATACTTTTGAGTTAACAGAACATATTCACATATTAGTCCATTGGATAAATGTGCATCACTCTGTATCCTTGATCTGCTGGGAATGTGTTACACTGTTTTCTTGACATGCTTAATTGTTGAATCATGAAGAGAAGGTTGTAAGCAGGAGACTCTGTGTCTAAAGACAGGGGAGATAGATAGACCACATTCCACACCCCCACCTTACAGAAAGCAGAGAAACAACTGCCGAGGTCATAACTTAGGCGCTGTAACAGAGAAAGAATGTGATGTTTTGGCTTTCACGACTAGCTGGGGGCCACTAGAGACTATAAAAAGCTGAGCAACCCGTCACCATTTTGAGACATGCTGTCAAACCTCTGCAGGCATCTCTCCCGTCCGGACGTTGTAATGCTCTTATTGTTGAATTGTATGGAAATAAATGATTGTTGATTGAGCATTGATACACCGAGTATTGTCCTTCCTTCAGCCCAAAGATTCAAAGAACTGCGTATTTTCAACAACTTGGTGCCGTGTGACCCGGATCTTTGGTGTGCTGAGGAGGTGCAGATTTGACCTTTGGTGAGATCATGAGGCGAGGTGAACAGAGGACCGGTCCAAAAATAAAAAGGTAAGCACAGCCTGTTGTATTATAAATACCAAATGTGCATATTGGGCTTTCCAAATTAATCTGTTCACTGAGTTACACGTATTTTCACAGTAAATTTGTCGGTGTCTGGTTTTTGGCGCAAGATACTAACAACATAAGTTGAGGCTGAATTCCAGTGTGTTAAGATAAACTGCTTCTACCGAGAAACTAATAACATACTACGTTAAGCTTGTTGCAGCCACTTTACCTTCCACATTTAATTTTGTCTAATACTGGCTTCTGTAACCATAATACGTTAGAATTTATTCTGAAGACGCGGCCATTAGTTCAGTACATTGAAGTCGAGGTTTGAAGTTGGTTTATGATGTCTGGTATAACTTCGGGGATGCAAGCATCACTTTTATGATGCGACTTTGCTCCGTTGTGGCGGTCATAAGCGCAGAGAAAAGGGTATTTTGGTCTATGGTGCAGTGTGCTTTAAGAAGATCTAATAGTTGAGCTCAGAGGTTTCTGTGTAAAATTCCCGCTGAGGAAAAGTGTTGTGTGTGAGTGTCAAAGCGCGCTCTGGGTGAGAGAGTGTGTGTGAAGCTGCGAGGCGCGCTCTGGGTGCTGTCTTGTGGGTGAAGCGCGCACTGAGGGAGAGTGTGACTGAGGCGCGCTCTGAGTGTGTTTTGTGTGGAGTGTGAAGCGTGAACACAGTGACAGTGACGGTTAATGTGTTTGATTAGGAGGACATTAGAGCAAAGACACATTTTTAGGATCAAACGTTGATGCCTAGTGTACCTGTGGACCTTTGCCCTAGGAGTGGCGACCCTCCTGTCCAGGGACGCTTGGCCAGGACCGGCGGCGTCCGGGTGCCGAGGTGGTGACTTGGGGAGGTGAGGGCCCCCGCATAGCTACGGAAATAACACTGGAACGGCCGTGTAATCACGGGTTCACATTTATTCCGGACTAGAACAAGACACATTTTTGCGAACAAACGTTGAGTCTAGATTAGTGAAGAAATATAAAAAGGTTGAATTCCTCGTTTCAGTGGTTGAAATTGTTGTGTGCCTGTCCCCTGACGAGTGTGAAATTAAAATAAAGAGGGAATTTGGAGCCACATAGAGATAGACGGGCATAATTGGGTGTATTACTCTGTGGTGTAATAAAAATAAAAAGGAGAGATAGTAAGAGGTGTGCAGTGGAGAATTATGGAGGAGTAGAGAGAGGAATGTGTTGGGAGACTGGCGTACAGTTTACGCTGTCAAGGTAGGCGTGTTGCCTGCTTATCGGTTTAAAAGTGATGAAAATGAAATTAAAAGAAATCTCTTAGTGTGTTCATACAGGAAGCTGCGGACCTGGACCAACTGCCCCCACAAGCACAGCGGCCGAAGCAGAATTATAGGTAATGGGAACCACACCCAGCACGAATCAGCAGCTGTAAAAAGACAGCAGCGAGGAGAGAATTAGAGGAGAAATTAAGAGAAGTTTTAACACATAAAATTGGGGCCAACGGACTTGTGGAGGTTGGGAAGGCGTCCGGAGCCTCACAACAAAAAGGTGAAACAAAAACACACAAGCAGAGAAATCTGAGAGAAAGGCTCCTTTTAAGGTAACGCCTAGTTTGAGAAAAGATAAAATTAACCTGCTTTTATACAAATGCACATACACGCAATGAAGAAACAGCTTACACTCATGAACACGTGAAGATTTTCCAGCAAGGTTAAAGAAAAATTAACATACTTAAATGATGAAGTCTATACATTACTGACAAAGAAACCCTCTGGGTTGCAGGACAACAATTTAACTAAAAAAAAAAAAAAAAAAGGAACACTGGTCTAACCAGCCAGGCAAGACACAACAAATTTAGTGGTTAAAAGATTCAAATTGTGACATGTTTTCTGTTGATTGATTAATAAAAGTGATTACTGAATGAAAGAAAGTTCCTTTTTGGGCTTTTAAACATGATCTTAAGAATTTTAATATATACCGGTGTTGTCCTGTCAACTTGGTGGGTTAGGAGTTGATTATATCGGGAGACAAAAAACAAAAAGGGGGAGAGAAGGCTGACACAGGGCCTGGCCCCATTGTCTCCCCTCTGAATAACACAGCCAACACAACATCATTTTCCTGTTCGTTTGTTTTTGTTTTTTGTTTGTTTTGTTTTTTCTATACATACTTAATTACAGGCTGCTTTGCCGGCCCTGAAAGCCGAGGCTGACTGGACTCCTGCTCTCCCCCATACGTGACACTGACCAAATGCTGCAACAGCTGGATCTACAACAACGGCCTGAGAATGTCAACAGACCGGCAGGAATGTGATCTCATGCAGCCGAGACGGAGAGCACTAAACCTAAGGCCCGTTTCACTACACGGGGGAAAATTCCCAGACTGCGTCAGCTGACAGAGCTGTGACGAGACGCCCGCCAAGCCCGCATGAAAAGTAAGGCCGAGCGAAAGAATGCTGACCTTGATAACTTTGCATTCACACTGTGCAGGACAGTGATGGACCAACACGGATGATCGGGTGGCGAAAAAGGGCGTGACCGAGACAAGAGGAGTAACTGAGGACAGAAGGCACCTCAGAATGGACAAAAACACAGAAGAAGATGCAGGTTTCACCTGCGGTGAACATCGACACTGGAGAAAGGACTGCCCCAATTGGGGTCAGAACCAGGACGGACTGAATTTTGAGCAGCAGCAGCAGCAATGGTCGCAAACAAACTGAAAAGGAGGGGGGCAGGACCCCAGGGCACGCTTCAGGCCGTGGTTTACCCAGAACACCAGAACAGGAAAGTGATGAACACAAACACCCACACAAACACACACATCTACATGCACTGACTCAGAATGAAGAGACACACACACACACATACACACACACACACACACACACACACACACACACACACACACACACACACACGGGAATGTTGATTCACTGAGAAGTGATGCACACACATACACATGCACACGCTTGTGCAATAAAGAGTGATCCACACGCACACACACATACACGCTGATGCAATGAAGAATGCTTTGCTTATGCTGATATGCAAAATGCTGCACACAAACATCCCAATGCATAATTTTTATGAGGAGCCATTGATTACCATTAAATACTTAGAATGTGTTATATGTCACCCAGAGGGCATTTATGTAGAATTTAGGAATAAGGTCTAAAACGGTTTGGTTATGAAAACAATGTCTGTGCGTGATGTCTGTTTATGGCTCAAGGCCTTGACTGAATTCTTTGCTGTGCTTCACACAGCCCTGATGAGGAACAGTGGCACAGAGTGAAAATGATGAATTAATAGTGTAAGGTTAGGTTGGAGTACGGCATTTTCTGTGATTGAGTTTTAATTCAAGGAGGAACAAAAGGTGTTACGGCACCTGAGGTTTTCATTCCCACACAATATTGTCCCGGCAGGAAGCAAAATGTTCCTGTGAATTTCTAATATTGTCCCGGCAGGAAGCAAAATGTTCCTGTGAATTTCTAATATTGTCCCGGCAGGAAGCAAAATGTTCCTGTGAATTTCTGGTTGATTGTTTGGTTTTGTTTAGCGCTAGCTTGATTTTATCAGTGAGCTTTGGCTTGTGTTCTTTCTCGTAAGCGAGAGAGGGATAGTTTTATGCTTGGACATGTCTGCAACGGGCCCTAGTTTGTGTTATTTTAGTAGTATTTTGTTGGTTATGTCTGTTTTCATTTTTGTTACAGTGCACTGGAGAAAAAACATCTGAGAGGTGTGATCCACCGGTGGTGATATGTTGAGATTTTGTGAGTTCATGATTTAACAATCAGCTCTTTAAACAAGGCCTGAAAGATTGAAATTTAAAGCGCTATAAAATATTATTACTGTAAACAGTTGCAAAGTGTGCTTCTCCATGATTGTAATTGGCTTGGGAGAAATTCACTTATAGGGAACACTGATCTAAAAGGATTGCACCGAGTCAATCTGGCCCAAAAAACAACAAGGAATTGTTTTCCTTTAAAATGATGACGTCATCTTGCTGGTGATGGATGCTCGAATAGGTTGCGCGGGAGACTCCATTATCAGCAACATCTGGTATGAATGTGTATGGAGGTATGCATGTGAATGGACTGTGATGGACTGACGACTAAAAGTTTTGACTGACTTGATATTGAGACAATGACTGCACCAACTTTAGGATTAGTAAATGCCAATAAACAATTCATAAACAATTCACCCAGCCGACAAGAGAAGGGTGGATGCTTCGCTTTGTTTTGTTTTGTTTTTTCAGGAGCAGGAGGATAAGAGAGACTGGAGGAGGAGA